CAATCAGTCGATACATTCATCATTTATTCCTCCGATTCATCACAATTCTTTATTCAATACCTTCCTTCCAATCATCCGCCTGACTCGCATTCATCCCAATCATTTGAATTCATCTGTTTGTTTTATAGTACCACTATAAATCCATGTTAATGGTGATTATTCAATTTTATTCCCTTTTCATGCATTTAATACCACTAATTATTGAAAAGGAGTGTGAGCAACGAAGTGTATCGAATCACCCCATAGTTCATTAGCGGGCGCTTCTATGATTTGTTGTCAATGTCAGGTTTTCTAGGAAAAGCACTGTTATGTGTTTGAAAATAAGCCAACTATTTCTCTATGGAGCATTGTGAGTTTATCTCTAATTATCTATTGTGAAATAATAATCTTTGATAGCTCAGCCTAATGTTTTAGAAGTTTCCGGTACAATTTCTTTTTAAATTGTGAGGAAAATTCTTCTCACAAAAACAGAAATTTCTGAGGAAGTATATGGAGCTTTCCTGACTCATTTTACCATGTTTGGACCAAGTTTATGGTCAATTTTTCGTTTTTGTGAGAAAACAACCAACTTATATTGGTTAATTTTGACAATTTTTGTTAAAGTGAATTTCTTCCATCTTCCAAAAAGGGGCGTGGCTTAATGCCGCCCACGCCACGCCCTTTTTTGAGCAGTCATCGAGGTCACTAGGCTTAATCGGCACATATTTTAGTCTCGTGGAAACCATTTTTCTGGATTAAACAATAAATTCTAGTAGTTTTAGACCTCAAATAGGCTAATTTTCAAAAAAGAAAAACATTCGTATAGAATATTTTGATGCAGAGGTGTCGTTATATCATGGGTCGCGCTCTACTATCGTTATAACGACGAAAGCAAGATCACAGCACAACAATATGAGTAGGTGGTAGTCATTTACGTTTACAAAACTTTTGTAGACAACGGCAGCAGATTGTGTTTTTTAGGCTCCCATCGCGTCCTAAACTCGAAGGACCTACAGCAATTAACGATAAATTACAAAATGTTGATTATATCCTAAAGGGCAAAATTGATGGACCAGAATCATTGCTTGTTGAGGGAGGTAAGTTGATGTAATTGATTTGTTAACATGGGTGGAGACGTACCTCCATTTAATCATGAAATGAATTTTTTAATGGGCATACTTGAGCAAGGTTTAAGACTTAGTGAACCACATACAGTAATCAAAAAACCTTTGCATACAACTGCGCGTTCATTGCTATTCATTGCAAATTTGTATTTCCTGCAATCGCCCAACAGAACTAGTTTTCATGTGTAACACTAATAATTGCAAATAGAAACTTCTTTAAAAATGAGATACGAGTTTTCTTGCTACTTGAAAACTGCTTCAAACTTTTAGACTCCATTTACACTGGACTCTATGATGGACGAGTTGTCCATATCAAGGATGGAAAAGTAGTGAAGGAGGTGCGAGTTACCAAACAGACAAAATGTGGTAGGTTTTTTTTTGTGGGAAGTAGGTGTAATCTTCAAAACTTTGTTTTTCTTTGAGCTGAATTAAGAATTGCAGTAGTTTTTGGATTTTAATTGTCCTACTCGATCAAGATTTTTAGAGATAGAGAAGAGGGGGGAAGGAGGGTGGAGTGTGGGCGGAACTAGTGATGGAACGATCCAAAAATTTTTGTTTTACCTGGGTTTTTTTTCGCAGACTCCAAGCTCTTCGTTGTATGTTCTTACTCATACTTCTGTGTTTCGAAAAAAAATTTCAAAATTCATTTTCAACGGGGAGAAGAAGGGGGAAGATAGGGAAGGGAGAGAAGGCCATCAGTTAAAACCACTCTTGCGATACTTCTCCAAGAATTACTTTGCAATTTTTAGGATCATATGCTACAGAACCATCCTGCGGTCGTCCTCTGGGAATCCGACGACTCAACAAGAAGGAATTAGTCGTAGCTGATGCTTACTTAGGAATATTCTTGGTAGACATGGGGGCAGGTTTGGTGCATTTACACAATTTTTTCCACTATGGAGAAATTTGTTGCGACTAGTAAGAATGTTAAGGAACCTTCCGTCATATAATAAAAAGCAATATACCTATCGAAGGACGTTTAATGCGATTCATAAACGATATCGAGGTGAGCGAAACGAATGATGCTTGATTATCCTCACTATTAGATGGAATACCGTACTTAGGTATTGAACGAGGACGAGTTTGTGTTCACGGACAGCTCATCCAGATGGGATAGACGTCATTTCTTTCATATTATGTTGGAACACGAGGCTACGGGGAGGTTTGGGAATTTTCAAGTGAACTTCAAGTTTTTTGGTTGCCCCAAAAATCAGGCATCTACCAACCTACTTTGCGCATTGATTTGTTGATTGTTGAAACAGTGTAGATACCACCTTAGTTTAGTCAGTCTAAAAATTACCCTCGAAATGATTTTTAGGATTTTGAAACATAAAATCTCTACAGGAAAGACAACCGTTCTTGTGGATAACCGATTCTTTCCGAATGGCATTCAGGTAAATTAATTAAAATATGCCGTTTCCTGAGACTTTTTCGTTTGAATCTATCTACAAAAGTTCCGTAAAAAGATTCAAGGGAAAAGGGCAGTTGCGAAATTTGATGTTGGCAAAATTTGCCTCTTTCTTACTGATTTTATGAAACAAAAATCTGTCTCATTCAGTTGCATCCTGACGGAAAATCAATTTTGTTCGCAGAATGTAACATGGCAAGGATCAATCGGTATGGAGTCTTCGTCCCAAAAATAATTGAAAGTTTTGTTAGATTTTACGCATTTGAAAAGTAGTATGGCAGCTTTAAGTCCACTGATGTTTGCGACACACTTTGTTGTTGGACAAAAACGCTGATGGAAGTTGCGGACC